GATGTTATTTCTTGTTATTGCCTGGCGCCACCTAGTGCCTCCGCTCAATTTCATTTCTCTCCAGCGACTAGGTCAGGAATCGGAATACACTTAACGTTTTGCAAGAACCTCGGAAGTGCGAGTTTCAGGCACTGCAGCCAATCAGCGAAGACACAGACATTCTGTGTTGGCAACGATTCCCGAGATCGAGGATTTAAAGCCGGAACAAAGAGAATGTTTGGTGAATTTTATCAATGGAAAAGACGTTATTGCCCTTCTTCCCACGAGATTTGGGAAAAGTTTAATGTACCAGTTAGCCCTGTTAGCGGCGCATTACATACGTCACGATCAAATAGAGGGTAGCCCCGGGTTTGACTGCCCCAAATTTAAGACTTTTTTAAGACCTTTTTAAGACCAACATCGCACCCATTATGCGGGCGAAAAACACCAGATCCAGTTTTAATAATGACCAACCAACTACTATATCTAGAATCTAAGGCTACGTTCAGACTGCAGCCTGAAGTGACCCAAATCCGATTTTTTGTCCCCTATGTGACCTGTATCTGATCTTTTATTGACAGTCTGAACGACACAGATCCGATTTTTTCAAATGCGACCCAGGACACTTGGATATGTGCTCCTGAAACTGATACATATCTGATCTTTTGACATGCGACTTCAGTGTGAACGGCCAAAGCGCATTCATCCGACCTACACGTTATCAACAAGCCACAAACGTCACTATTCTGCGCTGAAGTAGGTGAAAATTGTTAATGAACTCTGTGTCACTGAAGTGAAGCACATCACCACTCACCACTCTTGGCTCCGTCTCCACATCCACACGTTCCTTTCAACGGACGTCGCTGCCGCTGCCCCACAAAACACCACGACCAAAAACCTCGTCCTTCTCCTTCTCAATCTCCTCCTTAAAACAAGTAAGTTGTTCATGTTCTGGCTCCGGTACGAGAGGAACTTTAAAATCTCCAGGTGCTCAATGCTCGCGTCCATGTTTGGACAACTTCCGTAAACACAGAGCACGCTCACTGCGGTTGACGTCATCGTGTCTCCAGTGCACATGTGGGACACTTTCGGGCCATTTAATGTTCACACTGGAGATCACACACAAGTCGCATTTAATTGGAAATGTGAACGACCTCGCAAAAACATCGGATTTCACAAAAAAATCTGAATTGAGCATTAAGCCCTGCAGTCAGAACGTAGCCTAAGAGCCACTGTGGATTAAACCTGCACTTCCCCATGATCCATCCAACGTCTTCTTCAGCTCTACTGATTGTTTACTCATTCTCGCTGGCGCCAGAAACCAAAGTATTGTTTGCACATACTCCAAACTGGACGTTCATTCACGTTACAAGATTTCACGTTGTTTTTTTTCCCCACCCTCCATTTAACATCGCACTACAGCCCGGTTGAGTTTACAAAAAATAGGCTAATGAAATTTAAGACTTTTGTGAAAAAAATAAGACTTGGACAACATAATTTAAGACTTTTTAAGGCCTTAATTTAGGGACATGAAATTTAAGACCTTTTTAAGACTTTTAAGACCCCGCGGCTACCCTGACATAGCAGAGATTGGTTAAATAAAAAAAGTACCCGCCTACCGTCGAGCGAACGAATCCTAATGCTGCGAGGTCAGACGGTTTCTACAAAGTGAAACCATCTGATGAATCAGGCTAGGAATGTTCCACAGTACGGTATTAAAGTCATTTACCTTGCATTAATTCAGTTACATGGGATTTATTGCTGAAATAAAATATTTTAAAAATGTATCGTTACAATAAATGGGGTTGCATCTCCACAGATATGACTTGTAACCTGCCCACTGGCTAGTCTCCATGGTAACAGATGTCTTTTAAGCCATAAACTGAAACATTACAAAAAAAATATCATCTCCAGGTGGTGGACCCTCTACCAGAAAAGTTACACAGTATGTCTTTAAGTGCGAAAAAATACATTTTGATGAATTTAACATTTTGATCAGGCCTCAGAGAAATTCATTTTTTTTTGTTTTTGAAATTTTGTCTCATCTCAAGTTGAAATTGTAGAGAAATTGAGGCAGTACAAAAAAAGTTACTGAGTTCATGATTAGTTACACGGTCAAATTTCGCAGTATCAAGTGCCAGTTTTAATTCACACCCAAATATTTCTGAACCTGCAAAAACCTTTTACCAACGTAGTGCTACAAAGATTATATTTTGGTTAATGTTCGAGCAGGAGTCTCCAACCTTTCCCCCGGTGACCGACTTTCACAAAACTACAAAGTGTATTTAGATGCCAATAAACATGAACCATAAATCAATACATCAGTGCACAAAATTCGACGAGTTTTTACGAGTTAACAGACATGTTTGATCAAATTTAAATCAGCGTAATATAGAAAATTCTTTGGGCAGCTACTTGGGATGGGATGGAGAGGTCCTGGTAGCTCCCGAGCTCCAGGTTTGAGACCCCTGTGTCCGAATGTCAGGTCTGGAGGGAAGTTCTACAGTTCAAGAAAAGGACTGCTGTATTTTTTGGACTATAAGTTGCTTTTTTTTTCATGGTTTGGGTGATTCCTGCGACTTATACTCCGGTGTTACTTATTTAGTAAAATTTTCACACTGACAGTCGCGAGGCTCTAGTCTTGTGTGTCAGTATCTGCTACTACTGTACCACTTCATTCTACTGCGCATGTCTCCTGCAGAAAGAGCCTCTGTCCTGCTGCAAGTAGTGAACTATTCAGCCGAAAATGGTAATCGAGCAGCAGAAAGAAAGTTTGGAGTGAGCGAGAAACTTGTGAGGGACTGACGGAAAGTGGAGAAAGTGGAGAACACAGCTTCATGGCAACTGGGAGGATGCGCCATGAAACTTTCCTGGAAGTCACTGGATGAATCGACAAAGCCTGGACTTCAGTGACACCGAAACCATCCTGTCGGGATTCAGAAAGACCGGAATAATTCTAACTGGAACTGATGCCGAGTCTGACGACAGCGACACAGAAGAGGAAGCAGCGCGCTCTGTTTACCCCCGGAGGTCACGGAGTTGCTCAGAAGTGACACCGAGGATGAAGAATTGAATGGATTTAGAGTTTAGAGATTTAGATTTAGATTTGGAGTGAGTTGGAGAGTTTGGTAAACTTGTTCTGTTCTGTTGTTTATGTTATAGTTATCTGAAGAACTGTTCAGGCCACGTTTATCAAAAAGAAAATCAGAACAAACATTATGAAATTTTGTACATCTGTTAAAGAGGTGGAGCTCTGGAACAATTGTACAGAAAGCCTAAAATTGTGCACCAGTCTCTTTCACTTTATAAAGATGTTTTAAATGTTTAACTCTGGACAGATACATGAATTATGATACTTAGTCTGTGCTGTAGTACTTTGCTGTACCGTTTCTGATTTGTTTGTTTCCTCTTGCTGTATTTATGAAGATGAAACTGGGGACAAGATGACGCTCTGATAAAGGAATAAAGGGCAAAGACAGAATAGCTGGGTTTCACGTGACGTCACAGGGTTACGTTTGTCAGCACGCAAAATCAGATGGAGGGCAGGAAGTGAACTGACTGGAGGAAAATGCCGATGTGTTGTGTAGTTTACGGGTGTGCCAACTGTTCTAACCAAGAGAAGGAAAAGCGATTTTTTTTTAGAGTACCGAAGATAGTCGTCCACAAAGGTCAGAAATGGGAAAAGCTGACAGAACAACGCCGTAAAAAGTGGATTACAAACCTGTTTGCGGTCGGGAGGAGCAGAATTCGCTAATGCTCGTGTCTGCAGTGACCACTTCGACAAAGGTTTGTTACAAAGATAAATTGTTTTTTGTGGTTTACCTAAACATAAACGAATCATTAACGACTAACGGCTGACGACGTTTGTTGACATTAAGTAGTTTGGATCGAGGTCACTGCTGATAAACTGCAGTTTTTCCCATAACAGTCTATACACATAAAATAAGAGAAACACTCACCCCGGCGAAGACCAAACAATAATCAACATTTAGGCATTTTGCACCAAGGTTGAGGACCCATCCACTGACAAAAAAAATTCTATGCCTCCAAACTTTTGTACTTTGCCTTCATCTGTTGTCTGGTGTAGAACGATGTCTGAAGAGCTAAATAGTTCGTGATCTCCTCTGCCTCGATTGTCGGCAAATCTTTTACTTCAGTCGAAAATTCTCTCATTTTCATAAGATCAGGGTCAAGCCCAATATATTTGTCGACTAACTGCTCGTACTTTTGCCTCGCTACTGGCTCTAAATCCTGACAATAAGAACTCTTCTCCATATCTGTGTTCTCCAGAGCCGTGTTTGTCGTGTTTGTCTTCACTTCCTGCCCTCCACCTGAAATTCGCACATCACCGTGATCACGTGACTGAAACCCTCCTATTAGTTCAAGCTTCAGCCTACACCTTTTCGGTCTGTGTATGTTAAATATGACTGTCTCTGAAATAATGTCAAAATATACCTGTGACTGAAATAAATCATCAATAAATCATATGTGACGTTAACAGTCTGTTGTTCTCTGTTCTATTGTTTTTACTAGAACTTGATTTTCAAGATGAAATGTCGGTTCCTGGTCTCTGATTTTTTTAAAATGCATTTCCCCCAAAAAGTGTGACTTATATATGTTTTTTTCTTCTTCCTTATGCATTTTTTGGCTGGTGCGACTTATACTCCGGAGCCACTTATAGTCCGAAAAATGCAGTATTTTTAGAGTTATAAGGAAACATGGTTATGGTTAAAATTAAGGAAATGTTTAAAATGTCAAAACATAAAAATATTTAGTCCTGTTCAGAGCAACAGAAAGCGATTCCTACCTCCCTCCAGACCCGACTATCTGGCTCTAACCATTTATTTTTCGATTTTCCAATTCATCCATTAGTTAGAAAAATTGTGCAGTGACTTTGGCGATAAAAATAAATACAAATCATTATTAATCAAAGCAATAATAAATAATCACTGGTATAAAACGTTTCAAATTGCTTCAGAGGATTGTAGAAAGAGTTTTATTTTTTTCATAGGTTCAAAGTTTTATCGCTCCATCCAGTTTGTCCCGAGTGAAGTTCTGGAGCTCGGTCTGGACCCTTGATTTCTCCTTTTGTCCAGTGCCGGTTCTCCGCTCGCTCTGCTCACGAACACGGTAGGGGGCGCCATTTCGAACCTCAAGTCCCCCGCGCTCCTGTTGGCCCTCGCCGACCCCTTCCGCTTAGTCCTCGGCAGCGGGGAGGGCAGGGGGAAGGACAACGTGGGTCTGTGGGTTAAGTTCGAGTTGTCGCGGTTGGACGAGGAGCCGAGTTTGGCGAGCGCTACGGGAATCTCCTCCAGGGATTCTGCGGAGTCGGAGTGGTACTCGGAGGGCGGGGCGGCGGCCATGACGGGGACCATGACGGGCGCGGGGACGGGTGCGGAGGCGAGAGGGGGCAGGGAGGCGCGCAGGGGGAAGGAGGGGAAGGGCAGGCGCTGGCCCAGAGACACGGTGGAGACGGACGTGAGCTCTGCAGAGGAGAGAGAAACAGAAACTGTAAAGCCGGTTATTATGATGATATTTTAATACCAAAGAATCAGTTTGTAAGAATGGTGGAAAATTTGTGGTCCAATTTGATTTTTATTGATTTTTTATGACACAAAATTGACTCCTGTGAGCTTTAAGCAATGTTATAATGTTGTTACCTCCTCAAAAACAGACCTGGAGCTGTGTTTTGTTTCATTCACACATGTTTGAGTAACTCTTTATTAGTCTGTTTACATCTCCAAGACTCCAAATGCTCTGTTCCACCTTGTGATGTCATGAAACGGTACTTTTTAAGTTAACAGCTTAATCATCCAGTTGATACTAGTGAAGGTGTGTGGAGTTTAAAAACGAAGAGAAGCACTTCCTGTATTATCACATGACATCACAAGGTGGAACAGAGTGTTTCCCATCTGAGAGAAGAGCTTGTTTTAATTATAACCTTTAGGAGCTTTATGTTTCATGTTTCTGGTTAAATTGCTGTATACATGGGGTTGCTGTTGTTTTTAATTATTTCAAATGTATGAAAAGTCCTATACAAATAAAGTTTGACTGATTAATTGAGCTACATTACTACGTGACATCACAAGGTGCAACAGAGTGTTTCCCATTTAAGAGCTTTTTTTTACTTTAACCTTCAGGAGCTTTATGCTTTATATTTCTGTCTAAACTGCTGTATTGCGGTGGCCATACTGACTTGTCAAAGTCTGATCCCGTCAGATCTCAGAAGCTCAGCAGGACCTGGTCTGTTTTGTACTTGGATGAGAGACACTGGGAAACTCAGGAGCCACAGGGGGGCGCCAGACACAAAAAACTGTTGTTTGTCCTTAGGCAAGACACTTCACCTACATTGCCTAATATGAAAGTGGTGTGTGTGCGTGAGTGATGGTGGTGGTCGGAGGGACCGATGGGGCCGATTGACAGCCGCACTTCAGTCAGTCTGCCCCAGGGCAGCTGTGGCTACAATAGTAGTTCACCATCACCAGGTGTGGAGTAAATGAATAATGATCTGTAAAGCGTCTTTGTGACAAATGTCTGTGAAAACCACTATATAAGTAAAACTTACTGTAAATATGGATGAAATAATGGGCTGGAGTTGCTGTTGTTTTTAATCATTGTAAATTTTGAGTTGAATGTGAAGCACTTTGTTCTACATTTCAAATGTCTGAAAAGTGCTTTACAAAATAAAGTTTGACTGAGCGATCAATTGATAAATATACAGAGTTTGTGTGTTAAACGTGTGAATGAAACAAAAGACTCCGGGTCTGTTTTTTGATGAGGAAACAACATTATAACATAGATCAGACAATAGTGTAATATGGACCCTTTAAAATGGTCTTGATGATTTTTATTGAAAAGTGCTGTATAAATAAATGTAAAGAAATCCTGATAAACACATGACGTTTGTCCATTACGACAGTTTGTGATGTTTGAGTGTGAGGTTTTGTACCTGCAGGAACAGCACTGAGCGGGCGCTCTCTCGTCACTTCAGCCGGAACTTTACGCACCTTCTTTTTCCTTTTCTGCAAAACAAATGAACCATAAAAAAAAACATTTTATACTCATGTTTTAGATTGTATTAAGCTCATTTCAACAATTGAACACTCATAATGGGTCTGCTGGAATCTGCGTTAGAAACAGGAAGTGAGCATGTGCGTTGAGTGGTTCCTTCGAAATTATGCAACTGTGCTGTAAACAAGGGTCAAAGCTTTTCAAATCTGCACAATAGGGAGTGATTTGGTTACTAAAAATACTCGACAGC